AGTGAGGGGATCTCGGGAACGGGGCCTTCTCTGGAATGGAATAAAAAATCCCTCACTCTTGGATTTGGGATTTTCCCATTTCTTCCAGGTTTTTCCGTGCGATCAGAGGGATGGAGAGGCTCAGGAGGAGGCGTCTCACAGCCCCTGAGTGTGAAGCTCTGGCTCAGAGTGCCGAGGGTTCGGCGCCGCTGACGCAGCCCCTGAGCCGGGCACGAGAAACTGGGAACAGGAATCTTCACCCCATTCCCCGGAGGAGACACCCCAAAGGTGCTGCTCGGGAATTCCGGGGTCCTTTCTGCTCTGGGAGAGTTGGGAATGTTCACCAGGAGAAGGGAAAATAACAGGGGGAGATTCCAGAACATTCCAGGAGAGCTGGAGAGGGGCTGGGACACAGGGCTGCAGGGACAGGACACAGGGAATGGATCAGAGTGGCTTCTGCTCTTCCATGGAATTCATTCCCACTTTTCCATGGAATTCATTCCCTCTTTTCCCCTTCATACAGAACCAGGATTCCCTGCTTCCCATGGAATTTATCCCCACTCTTCCCTGGAATTAATTCCCAATTTTCCATGGAATTCATTCCCACTCTTCCATGGAATTAATTCCCAATTTTCCATGGAATTCAGTCCCACTTTCCCCCTTCCTGCAGAGCCAGGCATTCCCTGATTTCCATGGAATTCATTCCAAATTTTCCATGGAATTCATTCCCAATTTTCCCCTTCATGCAAGACCAGGCATTCCCTGATTCCCATGGAATTTATTCCCACTCTTCCATGGAATTAATCCAATTTTCCATGGAATTTATTCCCAATCTTCCATGGAATTCATTCCCAATTTTCCATGGAATTCATTCCCAATTTTCCATGGAATTCATTCCCAATTTTCCCCTTCATGCAGAACCAGATATTCCCTGATTCCCATGGAATTCCTTCCTACCTTTCCATGGAATTAATTCCCAATTTTCCATGGAATTCATTCCCTCTTTTCCCCTTGCTGCAGGACCAGGTATTCCCTAATTCCCATGGAATTAATTCCCGATTTTCCATGGAATTAATTCCCGATTTTCCATGGAATTCATTCCCCACTTTACCCCTTCATGCAGGACCAGGTATTCCCTGATTTCCATGGAATTCATTCCCAATTTTCCCCTTTGTGCAGAACCAGGCATTCCCTGATTCCCATGGAATTCATTCCCAATTTTCCCTTTTGTTCAGGACCAGGCATTCCCTAATTCCCATGGAATTCATTCCCACTGTTCCATAGAATTCATTCCAAATTTTCCATGGAATTCATTCCCACTCTTCCATGGAATTAATTAATTAATTAATTTTCCATGGAATTCATTCCCACTCTTCCATGGAATTAATTAATTAATTAATTTTCCATGGAATTCATGCCCTCTTTTCCCCTTCATGCAGGACCAGGTATTCCCTGATTCCCATGGAATTCATTCCCACTCTTCCCTGGAATTAATTCCCAATTTTCCATGGAATTCATTCCCACTCTTCCATGGAATTCATTCCAAATTTTCCATGGAATTCATTCCCAATTTTCCCCTTCATGCAAGACCAGGCATTCCCTGATTCCCATGGAATTCATTCCCCCTTTTCCCCTTCATACAGAACCAGGCATTCCCTGATTCCCATGGAATTCCTTCGCACTCTTCCATGGAATTCCTTCGCACTCTTCCATGGAATTCATTCCCAATTTTCCATGGAATTCATTCCCACTTTTCCCCTTCATGCAGGACCAGGCATTCCCTGATTCCCATGGAATTAATTCCCACTCTTCCATAGAATTCATTCCCAATTTTCCATGGAATTCATTCCCAATTTTCCATGGAATTCATTCCCACTTTTCCCCTTCATGCAGGACCAGGCATTCCCTGATTCCCATGGAATTCGTTCCCGATTTTCCATGGAATTCATTCCGAATTTTCCATGGAATTTATTCCAAATTTTCCATGGAATTCATTCCCACTCTTTCATGGAATTCATTCCCACTCTTCCATGGAATTCATTCCCAATTTTCCATGGAATTCATTCCCTCTTTTCCCCTTCATGCAGGACCAGGTATTCCCTGATTCCCATGGAATTTATTCCCACTCTTTCATGGAATTCATTCCCTCTTTTCCCCTTCATGCAGAACCAGGCATTCCCTGATTCCCATGGAATTCATTCCCACTTTTCCATGGAATTCATTCCCAGTTTTCCATGGAATTCATTCCCTCTTTTCCCCTTGCTGCAGGACCAGGCCAGCAGAGGAAAATCCTGGAATTCTTCGGGACCCCAAAGACCCCACAAACGGGATCCGCTGGGACCACAAACTGCGGGATCAAGGATGAGCCTCTCGATCCCTTTTTCCCCGAATCCGACAATTCCTTTGGGATCATGGAAAATCCCAGCAGCAATCCCACAATTTTCCCGGATAACCAGAACCTCGTGCCACCTCCTAAAGCACATTCCAGGAAAAGACCTCATCCCTCAGCATCCTCAGGAATTCCCAACGCGGAGCAGCATCCATGGGGTGATCCCGACGGGGAAATTCCCGAACGGAGCCGGATCAAACAGGAATGGGAAGAGCTGGAAGTGGAGCCAATTCCCGATTCCCATTTCGGGCTGCTGGGAACTCGGGACTGGGAAATTCCTCAGGGAAAAATGGATGAGCTTCCCGTTGAAATCCTCAGGAATATTTTCTCTTTTTTGCCGCTGTCGGATTTGTACCTCAACGTCAGTTTGGTGTGTCACTACTGGCGGGAAATCATCCGGGATCCGCTGGTGAGGAATTCTGTGGGAATAT